ATATATATGTAGAGAGAGAGAGAGAGAGAGGGAGTAGCTGGGAACAAGAAGACCCTTATTCTTGTTATGAATAATATGAGAGCTCAAAAACGGGGTGGTTACTTGTCGAGGTAAATGGAAAAACAAGGGAGTAGTGTAAGACGCTTGTAGCATGCAAACAGGAGTCGCTGTTTGTTTCAAATTGCCGCTCCTTCTTTTCCGCAGCCTCTTTTCTAGCCGTTTTGAAGCCGCTTGCTCCACTTCTGAAATGCCCGTTGAGAGGCATCGAGCGATATATGCTTCCTTGTGGAGGCAAGAAAAGCACAGCCTTTCGCACAGTAGTGGTCTGTAGGCGCAACTCTCTGGCTACGTTTGCGCACCTAGGATGTCTTGGTGGAAGCACACCGCGTTCGCTCAATATCATAGAAAGAGACGAGAAACAAAAGTGAGAGAGAGAGAGAGATAGGCATGAGACAGCAATCCACAACATAACCTGTTTACAGTCGGCGGTGAAATTTCAGAGGCGCCCACAGGTAAACTAAGGGGGTACATATGGTCAGCGTGTTCGTCGTTGAATCGGTAAAGTACCTTTGTTCCAAGGTAGCGAAACAGCAGAAGCCAATCGTTGCGGCTATGGTTATTGTCACGGCTGTAATGCTCGAGCGTACGCCTTGCTTAACCAGGCGCTAAGCTACCTACAGCTGCAGTTTGCACGAAAGCTTGTATGTACACACGGCATCGTCTTTGCCACACACAAATAACCATAGCAGACCAGACTCTATATGGCAGAATCAGCGAACACTCTCTGGTATTATGTGTCTATAGTGTCTCAGGCGCACGTGGCGTCTGCAATACCCATGAATGTGCTTGTCGGCGCAAGGGCAATGGCGCACTACCGCAAACAACCTCCTAAGCTCATGCAGAGCAGAGTAAATGGCTCCCATTTTTGAAACGGTATATCTGGAAACGATTAATATGGCTACGCAACGGATAACGGAGTGCGGAAAATGCCACACATGCACTTTTCTCAATAAGACTTGTTTAACCTTCAGTGTATACAGGCACCTTCAGGGAAAAACTCAACCACTGTGTAAATTAGTATTTGCTTGTCCGTAATATTTCGATCAAATAATGTAATAAGTCAGCTCTATAAGGCAAACTATTCTTTATTGAGTGAGGTGAATACACGAATTAGTCAAGAGACGAATTCTGACGTCCGTACACGATAGGCCCAGATAGGCAAGGGGATCTCAGCAAGAAGTTGATTCATTTAATTATGAAGTCAGTGCCCTTACATTGAGGTACTAATCAAGCTTCTTGATGAGAACTCTTTAGGCCATGAGCAAACACTTTTTCGACTCTTATAAGTTAATCCCCAGGTCTTAAATGTAGCGCCAACTGATTTTCACGAAAGCTTCTTAATATTACCATGTTCTAACCAGGATCATAGAACTAATAGTTACTATTGGATGAGATCTCAATTGATTAAAGGTATCCTTGCTTAATGCTGAACCTGCTTGCACCAGAGCATGACCCTAGTCATAACTAAACGGTATTTTTAATCGACTGTAGCTTTCTTACGCGTAACTTTCATCACTAAACCTTTTTTTTTGAAGCTTAGTCTTAACTATTTACCACAAATCATCAATTTAAGCCACTTCAACGGGATTCCATGCAATGCCGTCTTGTTGCTGATTGTTTAGATTACCATTAGCGCGTCGAATAAATAGGAAGACTCATAAAATTCAAAACATTTATCTTGATGAATCCAGGGCGATTCTTTATTCGTATCTAAGCCGGTGCCCTATCATCCTAGGTAAGTGAGAATAGACTAACCTCTTCCTACCGTCGGCACCTTCTTTCAGCCCCCGTATCCCACACTTACCGCATTCACTGCCATGTCATCGTGGCGATCCTGCCTGTGCTAGCAAATCTGGGTAAGAAAGTAGCTTCTGTTGAAGCTGTTTGTCGCCATCTTTATCTGTCGGCGGCGCTCCGGTGCTGCTGTCTAGGTAAAGTTGCTAGAGGACTGTGTACTTCGTTGGTTCTTAATTTTGATATTCATTCGATGAGAGTAATACTTCGTTGGGTGTCACCGGCTTTTTACGCCTCGCATAATTTCTGGAGACGAGATCCTCGGTGCTATCGTTCCAGGTATCACGTATTTATATGGATACCACCTGCCTACACACTGGCAACGAAGTAACGGAGGATCGTGGAGCTGGCTGCTTTTTGCGCTCCGCTGATACATGACAATATTCGACGACGTAATGTCCAAAGGAACCATCATGTGACTTACATTCATGCAAACAATGCCACACAAATGGCTGGAATGGAAAAATGCTGAGTTAGTCCATAAAAATTGAAGCAGCATCATGATAAATGAAGCATTACAATAAATTCTTCTTCCAAACCAGATATATTTATTATAGAATTGAATTGAAATTATGATAATTGATCTACGTAGGTCATCTGCTACGATCGGAAGTTTCGGTTAAACTCAGCTGACACCCCCTGGTGATCACATCGCGATCATTTCCGGCCTACCGCTGTGCGTTGTTTACTGCAAGTTACGCCTTCAGACCCCATTGCTTAGCCACCTGATCACTAAGGGCCAGCGATACACAAAATAGGTTATTGTACACACGAGTGTTTTTAGAAAAAGAAATAGTATAATTTCTTCAACGACTGATCGTCCAAGCCTACTCTGTATTATAAGCTTTCCGGTGCAGAGGAACACAAATAGCTCGCAGCGTTTGCTGCTACCTTGTAAACTCTGAATGGCCTTATTTCACGACAAACTAAACTCAATCCAGAGACTCACTTCATTCAGTTGTTTGTCCTTTTCTTCGAACCCTAACACAGTTAATGGGAAAAAAAAGAGTTGTTTGATTCAAAGTCTGAACATCTCGGTGACAATTGGGAAATAGGTAATGCCCTTTCGTTAAATTACGTAGTCACGGGAGCTCTGCTGTAGCGTGGCTTGATCGGTGCACCTGCAGCTTGATGGGGTTTTGGTTATTGAAAAACATGTACCGGTTGAATATCTGCCATAAAAGATAAGAGAGATTATACTGTCTCACCTTTCAACCTTCCATGTCCGAGCAGGATGATGGCTTATTGAATCATGTTGTTTTACTGTGTCAAAGCCTCCTCTTAACGTTGACATTTCATGATCTTCGGAAACCAGTTGAGCTCAACAAAGACAAACTTTAGTTCCTTTCGAAGTTATAGATGTAATCTGTTTACAATATATTAAAGACTGTAATAAACGTAATGCGATTATTGGCTACAGGTTTCAGAAACCCATAAGCAGGAACTTCATGAAGCTGTCGCATGGATAGCGTAATAATAGCTCTAATGTTGCCCTTTCTTCAGTGGCTTGCAGCATAGCCAAGTCAAAGAAGAAGAATCTACAAATAATTTGTGATAATCATTGACATTAGCCGACATATCGGTAGGTATAAATCTGTTAAACTGTCGCTTAGACACGCTGCTAGTAGGCAAAAAGTCCCGAAAATAAGAGGGCTCCGAATTCGCAAAAGGTTCAAAAAGCCTTAAAACGACTAACTTGTTGGAGCTTATTTGAGCAGCCTAGCTGGCACCTGACAGACCCTACTGACACTTCGGTATTCTTCTTTCTATAACGGCCGTTCATTTCTCTATCGAAGCCTTAGATATAGTAAAAATCGTTGAACATTTAACCAAAATTAAGAAGTTTCTTTAAGAATATGAACTTATCAATCTAGGTGGGTTTCCCTCAGCACGGAAAGCTTAATCGTAACTGATCTATGCTTAAGTACGACTTTTCATTATAATTGTTTTTGTTTTCTATTTCTAGAATGAGTTGGCCTTCGTTTGGTACGGTAGCAGGGGCGGCGAGGCAATGGCCTTCACAATTTGAACGCGCCACTCTACATATATGTACGAGTCTTTTATAATCCATCTAGAGAAAATTAACAGTGTGAAAGGCAGCGTAATCTAAGAATTGCGTATTATAGACGTGAAGCTCGCGATATCCCGATGAGAAGACAGTTTCAGACACTCATCACAAACCACAGGCTTTATATGCGTCTCAGACCTTTAAATGATGAGAGCGAGCTTGAGTAATTTACTGGAAGAATTGTTCTATATTATTATTAATTCGTATCTTGTTCAGTTGATTTTCGCTAAGAAACATGTGATTATAAGCCTTTTTGGAGAAAATCAAAACTTTTTCGCCGCCATGTTGTTAGGCTATACGGAGTCTGTATTCCAACTACGACTTGGATCAACCAACGTTGTCTTTAACAACGCGCGACCGTTCAGTGTTAGTTTCTTTCACACGCAATGCCACGTCTGTCTATTTCGTCGGCCGAGCCACCCTCTCCACAGTAGACGCCTGTTATTATAAACGTTGTGGGGAGCTTGAAACTAGCGGAGGTAAGACTAGGCAGCAGCGACATAAACTGCGACACAAAACACACGTAGGTTAGTTTAACGATCTGTAGCCAGTTGCGAATGTGATTGCCAGTAGACAGGCCGCGGCTGATGGCTCTGTCTTGTTACTGTTTTAAAAACGGCACAAACCGGTGACGGTGTTAACACTAAACCGATCATAAGCAAAACGTTTTCTTCTATCTGATCATATAGATAGAGAAACACCGCAAAAAAAAATGGCCACGAGTCTTCGGCTTAGCGCAATACTATGTCAGTCAGAGTAGGAGTTGAAAAGGAGGATTACAGAGCTGTAGATTGATTGAGTGAACAGGAACTTGTTGAAAGTACCAATCGACTACTAGAAACTATCGAATTGCATGTGTTAGGCGTTCGCGCCGTATGTTTTTGCGATTCAAAGGTGAGCCAAAGTGAGCTAAATTCGCGAGTTTGTTGTGTGTTTCGTTCGAATCATGCTTTTTCACGGGATGATGAGTTTTCTGGTGTCGATATTCGTGTTTACGATAAACACGCCAGCCCGATAGACGGGATGGTAAACAGAAGTTTACAATGTCAGCAAGTAGCAAGGTTGTATTATGTTATTTCAATACAATTGCGGTACAGAATGGAAATGTTCAGGTGTTTCCAGAGTGTGATATTATAAGCATATAAGTGATTCCATGACGGGAGTCAGCCATTTGCCGGCGGTACTGGACATAAAGCTCTGACAACTTTCAGATTTTGGAGTAAGAATGCAGAGTTTGACCAATTGATATATCTGTTATAGCAGCTATAGTAACATTAACCAGTATAAGGAATATTTTCAATGGGCTCTATGTTTCAAATAGATATACCACTGCGTCACGTCAAACCGCCAGCAGAATCTTGTGGTGTCTACAAATATAAGTAAAAAGTGATTTTTTTTATAACTTTATACCGTACCTTTAATGAGGAGAAGTTACGCGATTCTCTTATTTGTCCCTGTGAACGCTTTCATATTGGAAGGCTCATTCATTGCTTCTTACGGCCAATTTAATTATTTTTTCTTTTGTTTTAGCATGATGGCGTAAAAAGCTAGGGGCAGTTTTTGTTCGATATTCCATTTTAGGGATTTGATTCGGACTTACAAATGTATTGTATGTACAGAAAAAATGGTTGAAGCAGCAAAATGCTGATGGCCAAAGAGTGTGCACTGAAAATATTAGAACGCTATGCACATCTGTTTTTTTAATGATACAATGCGTGTAGCTACGGTGTATTTACCAATGAAGTTGTCCAACTCTAGTTCAATAGTCTCGTTACTTCGTACGCCGTTCTGTAGATATTTAAATAATCATTCGTTCATTTAAATAGAACCATTTATTTACGTATTATTTGTATGTTAGATTAAATAAATGGGAAAGGAAGGGTGATCTAACTGGTACCATTTAATAGTTTGAAACGCATATTAGGAAACAATTTCTAAGGCGAAAACGGCAAAGCGCTCAGTTAATTAAAATAGCTATCTTAGATATAAATGTACTTAAAGAACAGAACTTTACTAAGTAATAGATACTTTTATTACGCGTGATCACGTATACTCTTAACACAACATTATTACGCTAAGACCCTTCTAAGGTGATGGTCCTATAAGTAGAGATCAAAGTCATCATCTTATGAAAGGCAAGAACGTTTTTGCTTACCAGAGTTTTTCAATAGTAAGCTTATCCACACAGCAATAGAGGTGCGAAAACTCTTCGATTTAAAATAATGGATGTATGTTTAATAGGCAGATAATGAATAATTAAATAGACGACAGTTTATTAGGACTAGGACTTCTGAGCGAAGATATAATAATATAAGATCTGAAGCCTGTATCACTACAATCAAGTATATGATGGCTGCAGGGAGGAACTATTTCATTGCCTACTTCTAAGTTGAGTCTGCCTGTAGAGTTATTGTCGCTAGGTGTCGAAACTTAGGACTGAGCCAATTGACATACAACGTGTTTGTTACGCAATTTCATATATAGGTGCGTGAAGACCTGTAAATCATGTTGATTAAAGCCTTCTTGCGAGTCTTCCCCGCACGACTTGCTCCCATGCTAGCAACAGTTTGTAGGCCAAGGGCGCCTCAAAGCAATCAACAACGATACGCGTCACAGTTCCGCTTCACGCTCGATCACCCCAAGCTATCTACAGAGCAGCGGCAATTCTACGAAGAAAATGGCTACATGATCGTCAAGGGGATGTTCGATCCTCAAGATCTGCAAAAGTTCGCCAAACGTTTCGACGACATTGCCAGCGGCAAAGTGAAGATCCCCGGTCTCACCATCATGAGAGACATCACCGTCAAGAATGCTAAAAATCAGGACAAGTATGTCGTCAACAAGTTGCAGGACCTCTTTTTCGACGAAGAGCTCTGGGAGTATTGCACATGCCCTCGAGTGCTGGACTGGGTTGAGGCATTTGTTGGGAAGGACCAGATGGCCGTACATACGATGCTGATCAACAAGCCACCAGATACGGGGGCGTTGACATCTCGCCATCCGCTGCACCAAGACTTGCACTATTTTCCATTCCGACCAGCAGACCGCGTCGTCTGTGCGTGGACTGCAATCGAGCGCGTTAATCGGGAAAATGGTTGTTTGGTGGGAATTCCAGGCTCGCATAAGGGACTCCTGTTGGAACACGTATATCCTGAATGGGAGGCTGGTGTTAACAAAGGTTATTATGGAATCAAAAATTATAATGAGGTGAGCGTAATAAATATTGGTTCTACAGAGCTAGAAATTTAATTCAACACGTCTGCAATTAAGAGCTGAAATAGGAATTTCTGTAATATATGAATCGTAACTGAGTGGAAGCGAGTACAAATGTTTTAACTCAAAAAAATCATTTTAACTCTATATAAGTTAGGTTTAAAAAGTTCTGAGGGACAACCTCAGCGAAGTTACAAACGCGGCTTTGTTTTAAGGGAAAAGGGAAAGAGCAAGTTTTCACAGCGAATTCACATTGCTCATCAAACTTTCAAATGTATTCTTCCTTTGATTCATTCCTATGCCGTGGGTTACAGTTTATAGATGATCGTGTACATTTTGAGATGGAGGCCGGGGATATGATATTGTTCCATCCGCTCCTTATCCACGGATCCGGCGCCAACCGTTCAAAAGGTACGCAGAATTTAGGCGTCTTGCCTGAAAGTAACTATTACTTACTCCTGTCCCCTTCCCTGAATCGCAGAGAGAGCGTAAGCTTAAGCAGCGCAAAAAGTGATGATTAACATGAACAGGTTGGTTAGATTTTTTTGTTCATGTTAACCAAATTTTACTTATCGGTTATTATTTTACTTATAGTTTATTGCTCGATTTATGTTATCGGTCTTATTAGACAAAAACAACTTACACACAAAGCGATCCTAGTTCAATCTGTTTATACAGCCTGTCATTGTACCGTTATGTTCCTGTCTCTTTAAGGATTCCGAAAGGCGATCTCATGTCACTACGTCGCATCGAAGTGTAGATACATCGATGTGGCAGGCACTAGTCAAGAGAATATTGCGAAGGAAGTCCTTAAGATAGTTGAGAAGCGAGGGATCCCTATCTTCGATTACAGGTGCGAAAGATGGACAGGATGCAAATGGTAGCGACTTCCTCTGTGGATTATGTTAATCTATGGTTACCATGCCGGTTGCTGTACATATGTTGTCTACTAATGATGGGGTCAGCTCGAAGAGCCGAGCTCTAGCCAGTTTATATAGGTACACCGCGCCTGACTGGATATTGAAACGGGCTAAATATCGATCATGCCAACGTAACTGTCGTACGAATTTCAGTTAGTGGAATCGGATTGTACGGTCGTTTAATAGAGACTATTGATGATATGATGTGCCTACGATAGAGCTTCTGGAAGCAATTTAAGTGGTAATATCAGTAAAATTTCCTTGAGTTTATCTTGAATAGTATTTGTATTGAATGACGCTTTGCTGATGCCGCATTTGTTTTTATTTCGGGATTCAGCACACTTTTGTTTATGCTATTTTCTGATGTCTTGTCTTCCGTCCTCGTCTAATGCATCGTCTTTTTTCCAGAGACGTTTGGCGTTACCGAGCCCAGTTGGTACGCGGTGAACGGTTCAACCTCTAAACTATGTCCGCTTTAGCCTTCCCTGGCGTTTCGCTATACTTTCGTGATGCGGCGGTTCTGTCTGCGCAAACGCAACGGGAAGGAGATGTGTTTTCCACGGAAGACCGGCCGAAACCGACTTGCAGCAATAGAATAAGGGGCCCATACCCATTTACTCGGTACGACCTCAACTGCATCGGCCACGACGGTACGGTAGAAAAGCAAACGCAATAGAAACACCGAACAGGAAGTAAGATAAGACTTTTTACGCGGGTTCGCTGCTTCCTCTGGCGTCCGGCATTGGCCGTGTTGCCTGCATTGGCCCCTAGTCCTCCCAGCCCTTGGATTCCACTCCGAAGACTGGGGAGAGCTTCCTCAATAGTTACCATTCTCTTCACTATTCTATAACTTGTCCGACACAGCTCAAGCGGTCCATGTGTTTACCTTGCCCTCCCTAAGGACCGCTTCGGTCTGCCTACTCTCATAGCCCTTGGCTAGTTGCTACAACAGCTGGGATATGCCTGCTACTAGCTACCGCTGGCAGGATACACGGCAATCGTCCCGCTAGTTGTTGCTCGTTCGCCGCGACATGAAGTATCATAATTAGCAGAAACCAGTAGCACCTTTCATCATTCGCATCATAAGCCAAAAAGTCATCTCGGATACTCGAAGCCAGAGCTTCGAATATCCGACAGATAAATAGAGAGTTGTTTTTCGCGTTCGGGAAGACGAAAGCCGATTCTGGGTTCAATGGCCAGACAGTCCGGGATGAAATGACCCTCTGATCCAAAGCGCTCAAACCAGTGCTGTGTAGCAGTCACGCGTACTATGGATAGCCGCAGCGGTGGCTTTGCCGGTCTAGTCGCTAACGGGACCAGCGCGATCTGGTTAAAGAGAAAGTCATCTGAAACACGGACGCCATTAGCTGCTGCTGTTGTTAGTACCAGCCCCCACGGGCATCGCGACGTGGCCCAAAGCGCAAGACAACTTCATCTATGAGAGAGTCAGCATAAAAGCCTGTTCGATTTAGAGCAGAGCTCTCTGTTACAACGATCAATAAACTCCAGAGCGGTTACCATTTCTACGGCTAGTACAACCAAAGGACGGGTAGAAGCCGCTGCTATGGCTGCTACTGTCCTGACCGTCGTCACTGCCACCGCTGCTGAATCAACTGTTTCAACTGTTTTTATCTGGCCAACGTAACCACAGAGACGTGGTCGCTGCGGCGTTTATCAGCAACGCTAGCAGAAGAATGATAAGAAACTAGGTCCGGTTCGGTTGGGAGTTTTGAGGGGCTGTGGGAAGTCCTGGCGCGACAGGCAGAGGGTCGGAACTGGCGAGGTTAACTGGCTGGCTCCCGGCTCAGACAGAACACCGAAGCCACTGCCGCCGAAGGGACATAGTAGTTGTACTTGGAAAAGAAGGAAAAAAGCTTATCAGTGCTGAGATGATACCGGAGCCGGATGAAATCGGACGAGAAGGGTAGTTATCGTTTTTAGAGAGGAAGGAAGAAACATGTTGGGGGCAAACCATTGCGATAAAGGGTAATTGGGGTTGCTATTGCTGGTTCTGCTGCTGTTATTGCCGTTGCAGCGGAACGAGAAATTTTCACGTCTTTATAATGGTGGCGGAAATCACTACGATCCTGGTGATGAACCCGTGTTGTGTTAGGGCGGATTGACATAGTGCTGGTTATGATGGTGACGTCTGTGTTTATTTTTCTACTTTTGAACGCGAGCATCAGTAGAAGCAATTAGTCTGTCGAGATAGATGCATCGTACATAAATCTGCGTGAGACGTGTCTGCTAGTCGACCTGTGTGAATTGGTTGTTATGGAAGCTACTGGAAATAGCGCGGCATAGAATCGAACGAGTCTTAGGGAAAATCAGCTGGTAGCATGGTGTACGATTTTGGCCTAGATTGCTAGTGAGAGTCTGACGCCTTATTTCTATAAAAGCGAGAATCCGAGGTTTCACGAAAGAAGGAAGCGCTATGAAAGTTAGGGTGCCTGACCAAATACAAAGGTAATTGTTAGTAGCGCTAATGCTCTTTTGCCACTCTTTGTGACGTTGTCTATGAAATAATGAAGTAATGACCGTTTATAGAGATAGTCTCATTAAGTGAAGTCTCGTTTGAGATGCTAACACTAACCTTTTGCATATTTTTCTCACAATTTTTTATATAAGTCCTTTGATATATAGATAATACAACAAAGATGATGAAAAAAACAAGGATATAATGAAAAGCCTCGAACTATCAACCTAATAAAGCAACCTTTTCTGTGGTGAAAGTATGGACGAATATTGAACGCACGTATAAAACATGTAGATGCATACGTTACTGAAAAGATTCTATGGGTTGACGACGATTTTGACAAGTGAGCATATCGTTATGTGAATTTTAATTGTGAGATGGAACATTTAGGAAGGAGCGATGATGATCATTTTAGTATTTTACCGTTTAATTTTAATTAGATTAGAATTAACAAGATGGATTTTGGAACTAAAACTAATGTTACCAATACAACACACCAAAATAAATATCTGAATCCGTGTTTTTAATTAAAATTATCTACTTTTTATTCAAAATGTTTTTACTTCGATGAATTTAATTTGATGGAATAAAACGAAATCTGTTATACCCCAATGTATAGATACCTAAGATGCGTATCCTAATGCTTTTCGTATAGTCCTCAATATAAAGCAACAGAAACACACTCGCGCCAAGGTATTTACCTATATCTGCTACCAAGTGTTTATTTTCTCTTCGCTAATAACAAAGTTCTCTTTTTTTTTGCGTGAATCGGCAGTACTGTCCCTATCATTGTATTCAAGCCTAGGTTTTTTTTATATTATCTAACTCTCCCTCCCCTCTCCCCTCACCAAAAAAAAAAACTCAATACGCAGGAACTCAAAAGCCTTGTTTGCGCACCTGAGCTCGATTTTGCCGTCGCATTAGCGCCAACCGCGGGAAGATTTTATCAGTAGATGGAATTGATAATACCATGGTTAAATCATGGTGAAGGGCAAAATCGCCGGTCTCATCGCATTCGTTTGCGATGAGACCAAAGACATGATGTCAAAAGATCGAGACCACGATTCTTGCCGAGAAAGCTTCCGCTACGGGATTGTGATTGAATTGAATTTTCGGTCAAAGAATTCCTTACTAACTCATTATCCTTTGCATCAACAATAGAATAACAGCCAATCCACGAGGTAGATGAGCATCAAAGGTCTTTCCATAACACTATGAATACAACTGGCCAAATACGGCAACGAACAGTGTGGTGCGGTTTGGTGTTTGTGTCATGTTTATGTTTATGCAAATGTCAGGACTTAGGACGGCGTTATAGCTTTGGAGGAAGCCAATCTGTGCACGTTGCTGTTGCTGCTGCGAGGTAGGTGATACCGCAAGCCATGCCTATTTCGTCTTTGCTACCGATGACCTACCAGTGCCATATGGGCAACGAGATTTGGCAAAGCGTTGATTGCCTAGCTAGTCTAGAGAACCAAGCAACCCTTAGCAACTGTGCCCGGAAATACGTGTGAAGGTCCCGCTGGCAGAAAACAGGGATCGAAAGGGGAATGGTGGTAGGGCAGTAGTATGTTGGCTGTGACGAAACTCAAGTTTATACTACCCTATGCTGGGGTGTCGTTAAGGATGTCAGGAGGGCCAGTCGTTTGAGGGAGCAAACCGTTCGGTAACGGTTGGGAATAGCGTGGCTCAATGTAGTTTTGCTCGAGAGAAAGCGCAGGAGAGAGCGAGGGAGAAAGAGGGGGGTAAGAGATAGAGGGAAAGAAAGAAAAGGTCGTAGTGAACGTAGTTCTCGAGTCTATTGGAAGCTCGGGAATTGCGCTAATTTATGGAACGTCGTCATAAGCATATTTTATTCCTTTATTCCTTGCGTCTCCCGGCGCTACCTCTGACACGGGTCGAAAGACTGGCCGACAAGCTGCCAGCCATTATAGTTACTACGGGACGGCAAAAGCCAGCGGGGGCAACACATGGAGCCGGTCGCCATTTCGCGCCGCACGCTTAGTTTCGTTGCAAACGACTAACCACCCTCCAGAAGAGCTTGAGAGCAAGACGAAGTGCTAAAGGGGATAATCTGGGGTAGTAACAGGGAACAGAGACAGGATGGCGGGAGGATAATGCTAGAAGTCTTGCCTTTCACCAGCAGAGAGCTGCTATCGTATTCGTCATGCAAATGAGAATAAGTGCTGCACACGGCAGGCACCGAGACTACTCTGTTCAGCCACAACGGCAGAAGTATGTTCGTGTGTATAGTACAACGAACGAAGCATCTATCATGGAATGATGGGAAACAGAAAAGCTTGCCTGCTTCGTCTTGCCTTTTATCACCTCGTGGCTCTCGCCTAGTTTTGCTTTTTACCCCGCAGCCCCCGTTCCTGCTGAGGCGACAGAGCAGCAGCAGCAAAGGCTGGTTGGCGATGGTGGTATTGGTGAGGGCGGCAACTGCAAATAGGCACCCGCTAGCAGCAAGGCTAGCGGTAATACCGGGGTACAGGGGCGGGGGGTAGGAGGGCACAGAACTAGTTGTACAACAACTCTTGACAACAGAGGCTACTGCTAGGTTTACAGCCAACTGAAAAAGAAAACGATTGCCAAAGAGAGAACCGGTGTCTTTTGAGCTGCTGTGCTCAAAGCGGGTCCAACTTGCCGCCAAAGAGTTAGTCTACTGCCGACTTTTAACGTGTAAGCAAAATGTGGCCGAGCAAACAGATGACCAACATCTCCACCTAGCTGCGTTGCCGACATGCGTTGACTACGTAGTTAGATGGGGTCTTCTATCTTCCCATATAGCAATAGCAGCAAGCGGCAACGGCAGAGAGACCCGGTAACCGTTCGAGAGGTCCCTTCATGGCTAAATACGGCAGGAATACGAAGCAAGGCCAGTGAACGCGGTAGATATCAAGCGGAAATCCAGCTGAGGTGAACCAGCTAGAGATAGGTGAGAGAGAGGAAATAGGATAAAAAGGAGAGAGCAACGTACGAGATAAACGAGAAGAGTGAGGCAGAACTCTAGACAGTAGATCTAGATCGACTCACTTGCTCTCTCAGATTTCGTGGTAGAGTTTACGTTGTTAGACCCAGTCCGTCCGATGGCTGACGTGGCGAGGCTGCAATCTCCGCCGCAAGTTTGAAAGACCCAAAGTTAGTCATCAAAAATCTGCCGCTACTACTACTGCTGTGGCCAACCGGCGCTGCTGGCGATGGTTGTCCTAACTAAGACTGAGTCTTGGTTAGTGGCGGGCCAGCTAGCCGGCTAACTAGCCTGCCTGCCTCCCTCTCTCCTTCCATCGGTGGACTGAAAAGTAGGATGTAGTAGTTGGACGTCGACGCGGTCAACGGAGCCGCTTAGTCGACGAGCTAAGCTCTTCCACAAATGACTAAGTGACCCATACATATGCAAATAGACTCGCTGCCTGATGGTGAGTATGTGTGCTTGTCCGTCCACGGTTCGTCCTCCCGTATGCCAGCAGACAGCGGCTTCCACGATCCCAGGACCCTACCGCCCTCCAGTCGATTCTGCTTAAGCCGACCTTTGGCACTGGTGAGCTGTTTGGTTAGCAGGCGTCGTACTGATGATGCTGCTCGCAGTCTGGCTCATTGCAGCCGTAGCAACAGCAGCTCGGCTATAGCGTCAGCTTCTGCTATTAGGCTTAATTGATATGGATTCACTTAGTGAACGAACACCACTAAGTTTCTTTCTCTCATTTGCTGTTGGTGATGCTGGTAGCCGCTCTCGTTCGATCTCTGTTTCTCTTTTTTTTTCTGCGCCGATTTCCAGGACACTCGCTGAGCACAGCTCAGTGGGAAAAGCTTTTTCCTTTATTTTCCTATAGACCGATCGTGCGAGCGGCGAGCGGAACGCCTAAAATAGCGCCTACAACAATCAACTAGTTGAAGTGCCCGACTTTCCTATTCCATCTGAACCCGTGTATTCGTAAGGTGATGGCAAAGCCATACCACTAATTCCCTTAACATTGTCCCTGACGCTGCGACAGTCTCGCTTCAATTCGACAGAGCTTTCAAGCTTTTTTTCCAGTTTTTCTCCAGTTTTTTCCAGTGCTTCTTGTTCTACGTCTGCTATCGTCGTTAGGATTTCTATCAGACAGTTGGCTCTCAGTACGGAACGAATTCTATCTATACTTAAGTTCGAACCTAGACCACAACCTCTTCCTAGAAATCACAAGGGGGAGAGTAAGGGGCCTCCTGTGCCTAAGATGCAGCTGTAAAACATGTTTCGCAGATTGCATAGATACGGCATAACAAAATGAAACGTCATCCGGTGGCTGCCTTTAAATGATGTAATACTATGCGGACAAGATCCAGAAATCAGAGATGGGCAGTAACAGAGGCCTTGACCTCATCCACGTAAAGCTCACACCCGTTGACGAGGTTTGCAACACACAACTGCTGTGTACCAAGCAGACAAGCCGCAAGCGGAATGTGCGGAGAAACGGAACGAGAAAGCGACAAAGTCAGCAAAGCACAGCTATCACGCACATTACCCCCCACCATTCGCACGCTCAGTAACCGCCCGCGTCCCAACGGAGATGGAAATAACAACCTTTCTCATCTTTTGCGTTCCACGTACACGCTCATGGCGTACTGTTTTACGTGTTCCTTTTGCACTGCTTGTCGACTGTTGCCGTTCGCTTTGGCTTCTGGTTGACGGTGGACTGGTCGGTTAGCTACGATGACTACGTCGACGCGCTGAGGGATTTCACAGCCAGTGCGTTCGGTTGCACTTTGGACCACTTCCGGCGTTAACTAGACAATGCATCTTTCCCGCTTTTATCCCCTACGGTTTCCCACTTCCCCACATCTCCAAGGCGTGCTCGTATGGTTCACCGACCGGCAGACCCATTTCGCTTGCTCTTTCATCGCTGTTATTTGGACGCATAGACCGTGGCTATCGTAGAAGCGTCGGTTCGCTTTTGTCCCGAGGTCTCTTAATGCGTATAGCGTCTCTTAGTTGCCATGCTAGTGCGTTAAGTTATGGTAAGGGACTAGTATCCCTAAAGGGGCGTACGTATGAAGGGATAACAGTGGTGGACAAACTCATCGGATGGGTTTGCTGCCGCTGCCGCTTCTGCTTTCGTTTCGTATGTTCAGATAAGCCAACTCAGGCGTTCGTTACCGTTACTGTTTTTATCGGTCGAAGTAGTAAACATGCGAACTACCAGCAAACGAGCGGGCGCACTAAGAAGCCGAAGCACCAAAACGGAACTTTTGACGTTTTTTTACCCCGTGCTGATCCTCACAATTATAGTCCGAAGACCTACCCAATCTCTTATCCCATTTTGGCTCCCCACAGAGCCCTAGCAGCAAGTCGCCTTCTTTCCACAGACCAGCAACAGATTTTGGCGAAGAACTAGTAGCCGTCGCCATGTCCACCATCGACTACATTGTTCTTATATAGTAGAGTTCTGCGTAAGCCCAGCGGACCGTGTTCGAGACGGTGATAATGATGGTATTTTGTTAGTTTTCTTCTATGACTAAATTACTGTACAACGATTGCGCAACAACATAGCAAAAACGTCCAAAGAGGGA